AGCAGCTCTTAAAAAGTCTGCCGTGAATATACACCAAAAAGAAAAAGTGTTCAACATCATATAAAATTGGGAACTTTTATTCCCCCAGGCAAGATTAAGATTAAAAAAAAGATTATGCGCGTACACCAGCTAAACAAGCTGGAGGGTGGAAATACACCCATCTGGTCAAGACTAAATAAAGCCATAAACACATTTATACCCCCTCCCACCGAAAAAAAAAAAACAAAACAAAAAAAAAACAATAGAAATATCTTGTCGATGCGGACAAAAGTGTTCAATGCCATAAGAAATAAATGCGGTGACGGTACAAGGCCTGATTCTTTCAAGCAAAAAAAAAGTGCTCAACAGAAGTGAACCAATAAAGACACCCATGCCAGAGCTTTCTAATATTAATAGAAATAAGCAGCTCTTAAAAAGACTACACACCAAAAAGAAAATGCACTGAACATAGATTTGGCAAGGGTTTGACAAAATAATGTAAACACCTGGCTTAAACATTTATTTCTTGACTAATAAGGTGTTTGGTCTCCATTACTTTCTAAAATTGCTTTGATTCTACGTGGAATGGAATCAAATAAATTTTTAATTGTTTGCCATTCTTCAATCAAAATCTCGGACGATGAGAGAAGAAATCGGTTCACGACTCTCTGCTCTCGATCTCCCCCCCATAATGGTTCAATTATGTTGAGATCAGATGATTGTGTTGGCCATGGAAAGTGTTTAATTACGTTATGATGTTTATTAAACCATAACTTTACTTTTTTACAGTGTGTATGGCTGCATTATCATGTTGGAATATGGCACTTTCTGGCAACTGTATGGTAGCCATTGTAAGGATCTTGTCATTGTTAATGTCGAGATAATTATCTGCAGTAATTCTACCATTTAAGATTGATGATAGGATCAGAAGAATACCAACAAATTGCCGTCCAAATTATTAGTGAGCCACCTTAAATGTCTGACTGTTGGGACTACGTAATCCAGACCACAGGCTTCACGTAGTGTTTTCCATACATAACTACGCCCGGTTGTAGGAAATAACCTGAAAGAAGACTCCTCAGACCAAACAGCTTTTCTTTTTATTCCTCGTGTGTTCAATTTTTGTGATCATCACATCATGACTTTTCGCAACTTGGCATTCGACTTTGTAATCAGAGGTTTAGGAATCGCAGTCCTTCCGTGGATACCACCAGAATTATGGAGCCCCTGATGTACTGTGCGTCTAGAGAAACTGTATTGGTTAAGTGAGTAATGAGTTCTAATATTAATTTTGCTGCAGTTGTTTTATGATTTTTGCCGCTATTCGTTTTACGGTTCGTCAGTCTCTTTCGGTCAACTTTTGTTCCCGTCAACACTTGGCTGATGACGTTTTGCCTTGTTTTATTTAAGCTATCATAATCGAGTACACTTCAGCCCATGACACATTCAATAATTCAGGAGTCTTGGTCACAGATGCTCCTGATAATCGAACAACAACTAAATTGTCCTCTTTGAAAATTCGACAGGTCGCGTATTTTAGGATGTAACTCTTTTACCTGAAGATAAATAACGACTTAAGTAGAAAGGCAAGGTAAAGTGCTGCCTTTTATGCAGGTTTGATGTTTACAAATACCCAGAATTGAAAAAGTTGAAAATTTTGCAAGCTGTTCATATTATTTTGTCTAACACTATACATGTAATATATAATCTCTTAGAATTAATCTGTTATATATATATATATATATATATATATTAAAGACAAACACATATGTATATGTAGTAAAATTTAGGTAGTAATCCTTCATTTATACATGTTTCATTAAAGACTACAGACAAGGTACTACGATTAACCTTTTTATTTAATTTACTTGTGTTCGAACAAAGTCTGTAGAAACTGTCCGAATGTTTTATAATTCCGAGTGCTTTCAGTTATACTTTTAGCCATTATCAAGGATGATTTTATTTTTGCTTCTTAATTGGGCGTATGTGTTGTGTGTATGTTTTTAGAATTGTAGGGATTATTGTGACCGTGTTGGTTTTTTTTTTCTTTCTTATTAAGGCTTCCATTATTTTTGCTTCTTAATTGGGCGTATGTGTTGAGTGTATGTTTTTAGAATTGTAGGGATTATTGTGACCGTGTGTTTTTTTTTTTTTCTTATTAAGGCTTCCATTATTTTTGCTTTTAATTGGGCGTATGTGTTGTGTGTATGTTTTTAGAATTGTAGGGATTATTGTGACCGTGTTGGTTTTTTTTTTTTCTTTCTTATTAAGGCTTCCATTATTTTTCACTTTTTCTACAGTTGGATGAGGTTATGTTTGTTTTCTACTAGTATGTTTCGGATGGAGTCTGGTAAGTTTGTGTGTGTGTTTAAATGGGTTCTAATAGAGCTGTGGTTAGATAGGTGTAACGTAAGGCATCTGGTTAGGCATGTATGATCGATGTAATTATTTACGAATTCGGCTTAAAAAAAAAAAAAATCAAATTATCTACTAGAAAAAAAATTAAACAGCTTACGTTATTCTCAAAATAACAACACAGCATCTAAATCAAAATTAAAACCAACGAATATTATCTATGAGTTCAAATGCCCCTGAAGGAACTGTGTTCATGACCAAACCGAATTCATGACAGGCCACTACTTAGTTTCATTGCCTACCTGGTTACTGAATTAATATTCAAATGATCTGTCAATTTTTTTTATGGCATATAGCACTTTTATGCTAGGTGTTTAGAGCTGCTTATTCAAACCTTGGAATCTAGCGTGAATGTGGTTGTCTGGTACTGTTGAGCATTTTTTGGGCTACAGTTCCTGTAACATGACACAAGTTTCTCTTGTTATAGAGCGCTTTTTGCTATACCGGCAAGCCTTTTCAGGTTGAATTTTCTTTCTTTTTTTTTTTTTGCCATTTCAGATCTTGGCTAGATGATCTACCCTCCCCACTTTGCGAGTTTGGTTTGCTTGTCAAATTATACTCGTCCGGTGGCATATAAGGTAATCATCTTATTACTGCAAGTAACTGGCTACCTGAAGATTCAGGTAGGTAGGCAGCTGGAGTTGGCTGCGTGCTAACCTCTTAGCTGTTGTCGAACTTTCTGCCTTCGGGAAGAGAGGAACCCGGACGAGGCTATGTCGAAGGGCAGTCTCGTTCGAGGAGGTAAACAGACCCGACCGCGTTTATGCAGAGTCTACGGGGAATTTTTGGCCATGCCTACGGGCTCTGATTTTCCCGACATTAAACTCGGCCTCGTGCCACATCCTACGTTGTGGGGAGGTCGGTAAATATTACTGGCTATCTGAAGATTGTGTGAAAACACATGACGCTTTAAGTAGTGGCCAGTCATTGCATATTCGGTTATTAAATAAATATTCAAATGCTCTGTGATTTTTTATGGCATAGAGCACTTTTATGCCAGAAGGCTACATTTGGGTAGATTCTGTTTAGAGCCGTTTATTCAAACCTTGAAAATATATATATATATATATATATATATATATATATATATATATATATATATATATATATATGAATTTGGGTCAAATATAGATCGATTCTAATCTAAGATCAGATTACTCATCCACAGTGTCAGCGAAATTCTTTGACGCCAACGCAAATCACCCCCCACAGTTAACGTACGGACAGAAACAGAAATAAAATACCCAAACATAGAAGAATTATACATACGAAAGCTACAAGACAATTACTTAAGCAATGAAAAGCAAAAACATAAAAATTTATCTTCAGTATTTCATTTTTGATGAAGTTTAAATAAAAACAAAATCTGTTAAATTTATAAACGTTTCTAAATTGTTTCTTATGGAGTAATGGATAGCGGCTCGGATTGAAAAATCGTAGAGCCGAGTTCGAATTCCAGTCGAATCCATTACATTCATTTACGTGCTAATAGGTATGAACGATATGAATCCTCTTCTTCCCCCCACCCCCAGCTATGGGTAAATAGAAGGACAGACTGTGTTCTATAGCTTTGGATAGCAATTGGTCTACCGCAGAAAGAGATGGCACACTACTGCGGGAAAACATCTGCCTCGTCAGTCATGTATTGAAAGATACATGATCGCCTAAGTGTGTATCACGCATGGCACATAACTGACTGAACTGGAGGAAAGAAAATAAGATGAAGGAAAAAGTTAAAAAGTATCATGAAAATGGGAAGGAAAAAATGTAAAAACAAGGAATAATAATAAAATGAGAAGAAAAACGGGTGGTAAAATAGGAATGAAAAAGTAAGAAAAAATACAGAAATGGGAAGGAAAAGAAAGGAAGAAAAAGAAAACAATAAAAAAAATATGGAAGAAAAAATAAGAGAAAATAAAAAGTAAGAAAAAAACAAAGAAAAAGGTAAATTTTTCGTAAGGAATAAGAAAGAAGAAAAAGGAAGAAGAAACAGTTAAAAGCGGAGAGGAAGATAATAATAATAATAATAATATAAGGGGAATTAAAATGTGAGAAAAAATAGAATAGGAAGAATAAAGCAGAAGATGACAATCGAAAAGGAAAAATTGCAACGAAAAACGAAATAGTGGAAAATAAAAATGTGAAGAATGACGCAAAAAAAAAGTCAAATGAGAAGGAAAATATAAGAGAAAAAAAAGACGAAATATTAAACGAGAACGAAAAAGCAAGAAAAAAAGTGAAGGAAGAAAAGAAAAATGAAAACCATGAAAAGAAAAAAAAAGAAAGTCCCTATTAGAACTTTCTAAAGTGCAATTATAGAAAAGAATAAAAAAGAAAGAGTGAAATTAAATGTTTCATCCTTTAAAATGTCTGTCTTAATGTGAGCCGAGCAAATTGACCTTTGATCCTTGCATTACGTGCCAAGCTGTTAACAAACCGAGGCAAACAAAGGCGTTTACCAAAAGTAACGCAGAAGGCGATGGAATTGGTTCGTAATTTTCTTAATCCGATTATAAGATGGAATGATCGGGATTGGAGAGATAGTGAAAGTGTCAGATCACCGAAGCAGAATCTAGTTAAGTCTTCCTTCTGGATTGAGATTCAAAATGACTATTCTTCCTTTCACTGAAGACGGACAGGGTATCAAATAGCTTTTACCAAGATGGCCGTGGTACTCATTTGTACCAAATACAAATGCCGTTTGGAATTGTCATACCGGGAGGGTTTTTGGGTCTTATAAAATAAACGTGTCTATACAAACAAAATTTCCCACCGGAAAATTTTCATTATTTTGAACAAAATAATCGAAACAAGAGTATAATTGAAAAAAAAAAACTGCTTATTCCACCCCTTAGTTATCACGACCGTTACGCCCTGCCAATAAATAATGGCCTATTCCGTTTTGATCGCGTGGAAAGACAGAAAAAAGACATATCAAAGACACGACTTGGTTTTAGTGAGAAAAAGAAATTAAAGAACGAAAGAAAGAATGAATTGTTTAACGTCTGTTTCAGTGAAATTGAAAAAGAGGCCAGTTACAAATGTTTTCATTTCATTTGTACCTCTTTACTGCTTGAAATAACGGCCAGCATTCATTTTTATAATTTATTGTTATTGTAATATTTTGTTAAAGTTGTTAAGCTCAAATATGCGATAAGGAAATTTCTATTGATATTTTATTGTCGTAGAACTGGCCATGAGCTTATGTCTCTCTTCCGTAACTTCCATCTTTCTCTACATCCCGAGCTCGCTTTCTCTCTCTCTTCCTACTGCATCCAACCCCCCTGCTGAATTTCTTTAATCTATCAATATCTCTCTTCTGTCTTTCCTCCCACTTCCTCTATACTCTCTATAATCCCTGTCTCAATGTTCACTTCTCCCATCACTAGGTTTCTTCTTTCAATACCCAGATCAATCTTTCTCCTCCCACTCTTTCTCTATCCTTGTATTTTTCTCTCTATATCCCAATCTTTCTTTCCGTCTCTCCTCCACCTTCCTATAATTTCAATCTTTCTCTCTTATTTAGCACTATCCCCCATACACCTCTGTGTATTTTTTTTCTTTTCTACAACCCTGTTACTTCTCTCCTCTTTCTACTCCCACCAACAACTTCCGCCTTTAAAAACTACTGTCTTTCTTCCCCCACCTTTTCTTATGCCTGTGGTTTGTTCTCCCGATACGCTAATCTCACTGTATCACTATGTCTTTCGCCGCTCTCTTCTCTTCATACTACAACCTGTTTTTCTCGTCTCTCGTCTACCTTCACGGGTTTCTCCTCTCTATGCACATATTACTCTTTCTATTTCCCTTCCAAGTTTCTCCTGTCTATATCCATGCCTCTCTTTCCGTCACTCCCTTCTTCCGCCATCTTTGTATCTCTCTTCCCTATATTCCTATTTTTCGTGCGTGCTGATACATTTGGGGAGAGGAATTTTCCACGTGGATCAAAGTATCTCACCGTTTTTTTTTTATTTAATTTTTCTGCTACCATGTGCCGTGTCCCTTGTGTGGGAAGACCATCATGGCTCTCCACAACTTTCTATATTTTATAGCTCTTACCAATGTTTGCCTTTTAACTATCCATCCCCCTTCCTGTTCTGATGACCATTTAAACAAACTAGTAAGGTAGATTATTCCTTTCTTTGGTCTGTCCCTTTTGCCTTCCAAATGTCCTTTTGAGTGTCAAATTCTCCAATCCCACTTATGTGCCCTAGAAATTTCAACTGCCTTTTTCTGATTCTGCGTATCTCTTTTGTTTCCATTATCCTTAAAACCTCCTCGTTGCTCACATATTCGTTCATGGTATTTTCAACATCCTTTTACAGAACCATGTCTCTGTTTCCTTGTCTCTTCTTCATTTTGGAGAATATTGTCCATCATTCATTGTCATATTGAAGGGCTGATATTACATAGCAGTTAGGGACTCGTTTCTTTGTTTCTAACGAAATTTTCCTGTCACTTAATACTTTGCATAGTTTCTCGAAGGCATCTTTCTCTATTCTAATGTAAAAAAAATATATATATTACACAGCAATCTACTACTCTTTTCTTTGTTTCTAACGAAATTTTCCTGTCACTTAATACTTTGCTTAGTTTCTGGAAGGCATCTTTCTCTATTCTAATATAAAAATTAGATATCACACAACAGTTTTCTTTGTTTCTAACAAAATTTTTCTATCTCTTAATACTCGGTTTATTTATATATTTATTCATTATTTATTTATTTTATAGTTTTTGAAAAGCATCTTTCGCTATTCCAATACTTCTTTGGATTTCGATGTCACATTTTCTTTATTTTTTTTTTTTAAACTGTATCTACATTTTTAAACTTTTAAACAACCTCTTAATTGCTAGTGTTCTCAGGTCCACCCTGACCCGGGGTGGTAGCACCTGTTAGAGTTCCAGCTATGGGCAAATAGTTAACTATTACCAGCAATACAATTTTGAAGGAAAAATATTACCAGAAACAGACTTTTGACAAAACAAAATATTACTAACATTTTTTGTCGGCATTAATTAACACATTGAGGTTGATATGCCGTAAAACAAAATAAACCAAACCAATCTAAACCAAAGAATACATATTCTATTCATACGAATCTATCCTAGAAATGTTGTCGGCATTAAATAACCCATTGAGGTTGATATGCCGTAAAACAAAATAAACCAAACCAATCTAAACCAAAGAATACATATTCTATTCATACGAATCTATCCTAGAAATGTTGTCACGGCATTAAATAACCCATTGAGGTTGATATGCCGTAAAACAAAATAAACCAAACCAATCTAAAACCAAAGAATACATATTCTATTCATACGAATCTATCCTAGAAATGTTGTCGGCATTAAATAACCCATTGAGGTTGATATGCCGTAAAACAAAATAAACCAAACCAATCTAAACCAAAGAATACATATTCTATTCATACGAATCTATCCTAGAAATGTTGTCGGCATTAAATAACCCATTGAGGTTGATATGCCGTAAAACAAAATAAACCAAACCAATCTAAACCAAAGAATACATATTCTATTCATACGAATCTATCCTAGAAATGTTGTTTGCATTAAATAACCCATTGAGGTTGATATGCCGTAAAACAAAATAAACCAAACCAATCAAACCAAAGAATACATATTCTATTCATACGAATCTATCCTAGAAATGTTGTCGGCATTAAATAACCCATTGAGGTTGATATGCCGTAAAACAAAATAAACCAAACCAATCTAAACCAAAGAATACATATTCTATTCATATGAATCTATCCTAGAAATGTTGTTTGGCATTAAATAACCCATTGAGGTTGATATGCCGTAAAACAAAATAAACCAAACCAATCTAAACCAAAGAATACATATTCTATTCATATGAATCTATCCTAGAAATGTTGTCGGCATTAAATAACCCACTGAGGTTGATATGCCGTAAAACAAAATAAACCAAACCAATCTAAACCAAAGAATACATATTCTATTCATACGAATCTATCCTAGAAATGTTGTCGGCATTAAATAACCCACTGAGGTTGATATGCCGTAAAACAAAATAAACCAAACCAATCAGGATGCAGGCAATCATGACTCTCCCCAAATCCCCATCCCTTGTGGCCTTAATCAACGCCTGACCCCTTATTTAACCTCCCTGTTCACATTCGGTCATCCAAGCTGACAGATTAGGTAGGTTACCTACTGTTTCTCTCTGTCCCTATTGCCTTTTAATATGTCCTGTGGGGATCAATTTCCCTAAGCTCTCTTTCCTCCTAATGTATCCAAAAAATTTTAACTGCTTCTGATTCTAAACAAAAGGACCCTTTTCGCCTTAAAATTTCCTCGTTGCTCACACGCTCAGCCCATGATATCACTCAGAACCCTTAGATGTAGAACAACATCTCTGATGTTTCAAGCCTCCTTTCCATCTTGGAAGAAACTGTATTCACTGCGATATCGGAGGATTGATCTTACATCACAAGTCAGTTTATCTTTATTTCCAACGGAATTTTCCCGTTTTTTGATATTGTGCTTATTTTCTGGAAGGCATCTTTCGCTATTCAATCTCGTCTTCAGATTTCAGTGTCACATTTCCCATTGTCTGTTATAATACTCTCCAGATATGTACATTTTTCAACTTGTTTGATTTTCACAGCTCTTAGTTGCTGCTCGCTTCCTAGGCTGTCCTCTTTTACACAACCATACAGCATGACTTTCCTGTTTCTTAATACTTTGCATAGTTTCTCGAAGGCATCTTTCTCTATTCTATCCTTTCTTTCCGCTTTCCTTTGCTACCTTCTCTATGAGGTCCTGTTGTTTTCTTTCTCAATACAGTGTCCATTTGCGTATCTTATGTCGTAAAGATTGTGCTCACTGATAATAAAAAAATCTTATAGGACTTATAGTTCTCTTAGGATAGCCTCGCTGCAAAGGTTAAATAAATTCGGCGAAAAGTAAATTCTTGTCTTAAGCTTCTTTCTGTACTTGCGAAATTCGTTTTCCATTCGCATCCAGGCGGTTTTCTCCTCGGTGTAAATCTGGGACTACTTCCCCAAATAAGATCAAGTTTTCCTCGTAGTTCAAATAGATCGCTGTGCGGTAACTTCTCCTCGAACCACACAAGGTACCTCACAGTAACTCATGAACTGGATTGTTCAAATCTTGAAACAGCATGGGATAATTGTCCATCCCACAAAATGTTTAATATCTAAAAAAGACTAAACTAATCGAGTTACTTTTTTCCAAGTTTTCAGATAAGATGCTTAGCCATCTTGATACCATATGTCATAAGAATCAGTGAAAAACCCTTCGAGTTATTCAGCTAGAAAGAGACCAAGTTAAAATCGTTTTGTGTCAGCCCCACCATGTCTTCCCACCTGAGCAATGGTGAGAGGGAAAAGATCATTCAGGCCTTCAGTAATGATACCAACATTCATACTCTGGCTTTCATCTTCAAAGTCCATTCAAGAACCATCAAGAGAATGGTGAATAAGTTTTAAAAAAGAGGGAACAGTAAAGAGTAAAACTGGATCAGGGGATCACAATGGCAAGAGGGATCATCCTTTCAAGTTAGTGCTAAGTACATTATTATTATTCAAAATAAAGTCCAATAGCTTTATAAAAAAACCTCGGCGAATACTCGTAAGATATCTTTAATCATTTCTAAGATACAACGTTTCAAATCTTGATCTAACACTTGGACAATTTTGCTGTTACACCTGTTATGAAGTTTTCTGAGAATAACATATGATTTTCCAGATCGTCGTCGTTAGCGGAACTTGTTGCCAGGTATTGGGAACTCGTAGACATTTCCTGCTGTGTGAAATGAGTCCTATGTTGGATCTGAAGAAACGTTCGCAGGCACCGCATGTTCAGGGGATAGAGAGCGCTGGCTTTTCTTGGGGTTCTTTTCGTCTCTTCTATTCATCTCCTGCTGTTTTCGAAGGAAGTTGTTTTTTTCGTGGAGTGCTCTTCTCCAATTGGTTCTTTCTTCAGCTTTCGTCTACCAACTGGCCGGATCGAGTTCTGTCCTCAGCCAGGTGTTTTTTGACCTGATCCTTGAATCGACGCCGTGGGGCTCCACGTGATCCCTTGCGAGATGCGAGCTCCGGAAAAAAGGATTTTTATTTTGGGTAGGAGGATGTCGGAAAAGATGTCCGGCCCATTGAAGTCGGTGGCGAGACATGATGGTATCTAGGCTCTCCATCTTTGCGCATTGGAGGAGAAATTCGTTGTGTGTGATCCGGTCTTGCTACGTGTTTCGCAGGATTTGACGAAGTTTCATTCCATGGAATCTTTTAAGTTGGCTGATGTCTCTTCGGTAAAGTATTCAGATCTCAGAGGCGTACAGGAGAGTCGAGATTACAACAACTCGGTAGACCATCAGCTTCGTGATTTACGTTATCCCGAGATTGCCGAAGACTTTTTAGAATAGCTTCCCGTATGCTGCGTGGACGCCTTTGATTCGGTTTCAGCGGATACATTTGATGTTAGTACGCTACCAAGGTATGGAATTTGTTCAAAATTCGGTAGGTTTAGTCCATTGATGGTGATTTTGATTTCATGTTCTCAGAGATAAAAGTCCTACTAACTCACGGCTGGCGAATAGGAGAAATAGTCCTGGAAGACGTGGTTATGAACACGCACGTATTTCATATTCAAAACCGTTTTACAGACTAGCGGAGCTGGATACTCAGTCAATGCTTTTCAATTGTGCCAGATAAGATCAAATACTTTGGGACGGGAACATTTTTAAATGCTCTTATATATCTTAGTGATGCTCACAATTTTGAGAAAACTAGCTATGTATTGTATTACTAGTATTGTCTGGTACAATGCCAGAATAGTGCAACGTTCAGTGAAGAGCTCCACACTATTTTGATCTTGTGTCAGACTTAACTGAGTTTAGTAAATATTATA